CGCTTTCTTCCCCAATCTCAAATGTCTTTGCTTTGGAGCCACGTTGTTTCTTCTTCATTACAATGGTGACATGTCGATTTGTCCAAATCGTCAATGACTCCACACACACGTAAACAAAGAGAGAGGGGGGGAGAGAGAGGAAAGGAGAGGTGACTGACTGAAGACAATCCCCTGTTGTGTGAGGATCATCTCGCATATTTCTTCTTGTGCTTTTGTAAATCGTGCCGCCAATTTGTTGCAGTTTTGGCTGCCCGTTCTGACTAGGTGGGCTACAGCGATAATGCTGCCGTCTGTCTCCTGTTGGTATCCATCCAGTGTAGGCTGCAAAACATGACTCTCATTGATTAACTACGCACAATCAAGGCCAGCCTGTGGAGATGGTTCTCGAAGCTGTGGTCGACGAAGTGGCGTTTGTGGAATTCAACCACACTAAGGACAAGACTTGAACAGTGGGCCACGAGGAATAGATAGGGAGGTTTCGGTCGTGGTACCGCCAGCGCTGTCCTACCATGGGTCGAGGGGTAGCAAGTCGCACCCCGTGATCAAAAGATGGAAGCTTGGCGACCTAGCTCCGGTTCAGAGAAAGAATATCAACAAAGAGACAAAACAGTAACACCCGAGTAAGGCGGGTTGTTCAGGCCAAGTGGATATAAGCTGACACGACTCGTGGCAGGAAAAGTGTCCGTCTGGTGCATCACACACCGGAGACATCCCCGATCAACCTTGACTGAATGGGCTGGTTCACCTCGAAGTTGCACTGGACTTGGACAGGCGGGACCCTGAGTGTTCCAGCGGCCGATCGAGATGGCGCTGCTTCTTTGATTTCGGCTTCAGTAAAGTTGTGCATCTTCATTTCGGTTCGTGGTGACTGATGTTAGCAAGGGTCGGCTTTAATGTGTCTTACCCTTTGGAGCAAAAGTAAACCAGACGAAACCTGGCCGAGGAATCGGGGAGGATTCAACGTCGAAAAAGTATGAGCCTAAACAGATCTGAAAGAAGTACCGAAAAGATCCTTCTACACTAGGCATGTGTGGGGCGAATGACCACTGCTACTTCCTCTTCATCTTGCTCTTCCCCGGGTTGGAGATTGATTGCATGAGTGAGTGAGTGAGTGGATGAGTGATACGACTTGACGGAAGGAGTTGATCATAATTCCCACATAATCGGGAAGGGGGGCGGACGTCCAGCGCCGTGATGCACGCTCCTCTCGGGCCCCACTTTCAACCGATGTTTATTATGTCAGCCCGTGGCTGAGTAAGTAGCAAGGAGGCAATCCCGAGTTTCGGTAGTGTAGGCAAAGAGACACGTACCTACCGTACCGGTCCTGTTCCCCTGTAATTCTGGATTTACCTAACCATGGCTCACCATGACCATGCCACAGCCACATCAACATCAACATCAACATCCCACACTCCCTCGCACCCCTCTCTCACACCTTCGCTCTCCATACCTAGCATCCCCCATCCACCCACTCACCTCTGTCGACCTCATCTCATCTCTCACCCTTTGGCGCGACCGTAACGACACACCCACACCCACCAAAGACACTGCGCTACGTACCTAGCACATCTTCCCTTCCCCCCTCCCCTTGCTTATCCTCCTTGCCGCGTTCCTTTCCCTATGGTAGTGCTACCCTAGCGCCTGGTTCCGCTCTCCTGGCTTGTCCCGTTCTCCCGCACTATCTGCACGACAAATGAAGGATCGTCGTCAACCCGCAGATTGATCGTTCACCGTTTAAACCATCGCCGAACCTTGCAGCATTAGCGCAGCCATCGTCGCCCCGAAATCGACTCAATTGCTTGGCGCAAATACGCCTTCTGGCCCCCTTTGCTACCACCAAACCCTGCGCCGCCCACCAGATCCCATTTCAATTGCGATGTGCAGCGCTTGTCATCAATGACAGTGACATCTTCTCAGCTTCCTGGGACATGAGACCGCCTGTTTCTCGCTTCTCGGCCTCTCGATACGTTTAGATGCTCTCTGGGTATACCTACATGCAAATACGGCGGCGACAAAGTTCGAAGAGACTCGCTTGGCCATTGATCATAATAGGCTCGCAACCATGTCGTGGCTGCTCCCCGATACTGGCCCGACCGGGCACTCCGCCCAAGTAGGTCCAGTCGGCCCAAAGAGTGCTGCCGTGTGTCCGGTCCTTTGCCTCGTCGTCGAGACCGATACTCAAATGCAAATCTTGCAGCAGCGTTCCCGCTGCATTGTTTAAGCCGAAGCCAGAGAGAGTCTGATACTTGCTGCAGCAGGCGCCAGCGCCAGCGCCAGCGTTTGCGTCTACGCCTGCGTTTGCGTCTGATTCGGCCTCTACGCAGCCTCGAAAGTAGAACGATGCAGATGCACGGCGCAGGCCATGCCTTGGCTTCGACGGCCAATGTTGAGGAAACTCGCATCTGTTTAGTGTTGTAAAGTATCCGTTTTAGGAAACCGCGGCGCCATTCCCGCAGGTGGAACTGAGGTAAGGTAAGGTGAGGTAAGGTAAGGCAAGGCAAGGCAAGGCAAGGCAAGGTATCCCGCCCACACCTCGAATCGGAGACACGCAGGCTCAACCCAGCCTCCCATACGAACCGTGACGACATGTCTCCCACCTTCTTTTGCTTTTGCCCAGGATGTGAATATCATGCCAGTTGGCACAGGCCAGTCGAGGCAGAAACAGATGGCACGCGCCAATAGTCTCTCATCTTGTGGCGACCTGCTCCGTGCCATGAAACCCGGCAGCTCGCAACGCACATAGAGAGAGAGAGAGAGAGAGAGATCACATCCCGGCCAGCACTTCCTTTCCGAAATCCACTCCTGGCCGCCAGGTCTGGCCAGAGCCAGCACACTGACCAGGTCCCTTTCGGTTCACTCGACCATTTAGCTATCGTGGCCCAAGTGTTCAATGATAGACTGTCGACAACCCTTGGCTTCCCTTTTAACCTTGCTTTTCGTACTCGTTCGGCCGGCATCGATGATACCTCCACAGGCCCACACGCCTCAGTTAACCTATTCTGACACTGTCTTTCCATCATCTGTTGTCTCCCCTTCTTTTTCGCTTTCTCTTACAGATCTCAGAACGTTTATGCTCGCTCGGCTGTTGCAGTTGTCTCCCAGCCCATGGCCCTCGCCGTCTTTATCCATGTTTCCCGCCTTTATTTTTTTGGTTCACAACAGACTTTCTTCGGGTCCTGTCCTTCGGGGCCCTCGGGCATCATCTCAATTCTTATCTGTGCCTTGGCCATTCTGTTTGATCTCCCACCCCTCCCACCCCCCTCATACGACTCAGCATGCCGCATCCTCGCCGCTTGCCGAACGCTCCCTCCCCCTCTTCGCCCTCAAGGCCCATCACCATCCTTTCTATCCCCGTCGCCGCCGCCACGGCGGCGCGGCCCCTGTCAAACGTACCGCTTACTCGACTGGGTTAGTCAGTACGAACGCACTACTCAGGTACCTCGCACCGTTCCCCGGCCGGCCTTGGCCATTAGTTGTTTGGCCTGGCTAGTGGATAGGCCCAAAGTACGCAATACGAACCGCCGCGGACAGTATGCACCAAGCGGCGTACGCACATAGACATACACAGATCCCTCCTGATCCCATAGCACGCACTACTGTATCCTGCTATGCAGCTCAGTACCTTGCGTGCCTTTGTCCAACACATCATGATGGCCCTTTGCTGTCTCTGTTATGCCCAGCCTGACCCAAAGAGCCCTGCCTGCGCCGGCCACAGACCCGTTGACCTGCAGTGTCCACTCTCATCATTGCTATCTTCAGCCATGCTTCCAAGACCGGCTCCATCGCGGCTGAACACACGTCGGCGCCGTTTCTCCCTCCCCTCCTGAGTGCCAGTGCCTGATACTAAACCCCCAGGGCCAGTGGAGGGCTACCACGGTAGTCTTGCACCCTTGCCCAAGGATCCATGTTGCACATCTCCATGTGCTTCAGTGTCTTGCGTTCAACGACTGTGCGCACTCACTCTGCTTTTCGTCCTGAAGCAGGCACCGCCTCGGCCGCCTAAGATCCCATCGTCCGTCACCCACACTATTCCATACCCTGACCATCCAAGCTATTCCCACACTGCTGGGAAGACGCTGATTCCTTGCCCAGACCGCTTCCGTATTCGCCGAGCTGACGGGTCCCATGCAACCCCTGCCCTTTACGCCCGGCCCTGGTCCATACATTAATTCCTCCACTTCTCAACTTGCTTCCGCGATATATTTCAAAACCATCCACCCGTTCCGTTTGTTCCTTACAGAATCCCGGAGGAACTCTTCTTTTACACTCCTCGTTCATCTTCACACCTCCGGCCGCTACCTACGTCTTGGATGCAAGTTCGTCCAGAACCCTGATTAGCAACGTCGCCAGCACGCACTGCCTCGTGTAACTCTACTCCTTCGATCTGTCCGCCGAGACCTTCTTATTCTACGGCAGCCCTCCTTCTACTTCACTTGACTCTTTCTCATCTCTTTCATAAACAATAACAACAACAACAAGTCCACATCCTCGCACCGGATATACTGCTCCAGACAGTCATCGAGCACACAACACAACGTCCTCCTCCAACTCGACGACACTTGACAATCGCGTCGAGCTTTCTGTTGATCTCTACAGCCACATTGCCCAACAAGTCACGTAACTTGCTTGCGTCTTCATGACAGCAGCCACATAGACAAGCCTGTCCATCCATTCGTATTCGTTGCGACTGTCCGGATCAGACCGCCACAATGGTCTTCTGTGCCTACTGTGGGAAGTCCTTCACCAGGAAAGAACACCTGGAAAGGCACATCCCTAGCCGTATGTCAATGCCTTCACCAATGCGGATTGAGAACAAGTGGTACTGACTTGAAGGATACAGATACCAACGTCAAGCCTCATCGTTGCAGTGCCTGCCAGCTCTCCTTTGCCCGACGGTCAGTTTCATTCTTGCTTAGATTCTTATGAGCCTCGCTCACTCACACTCCAACAGAGATCTCCTCCAAAGACATCATTCGACATACCATGAAGCACGAGACCCAATGGAGCCATTGCCCGGCGGTGTGCCTACGGTAGCCGGCCGAACACCTATTGCTTGCCAGAATTGCGCAAACGCAAAGACTGGCTGCGATAAGAGAGTACCCTGCTCGCGGTGCGCAGAGAAGAACTTGCCTTGTGCTGCAAGGTTCGCGCGGAGATCATCAAAGGCTGCCGTCAGAGCTGCACAAGCCAGCGCTGCTTTCCAGCAACAGATGATGCCCACCGTACCCCAACCACCCCAACCAGCTCAGCCTGTTGCCTTCATGGACCTCGACCCGTCCCTGCCCAAGCAGGACTCTCCGAGCAAGATGCCAACGGAATCTCCCATTGCAACCATGGACCCTCGTATGATGGAAGGGCCGATGAAGAAGAGCTCTCCAACACAGTCGCATCGCAGCTCCGACGATTTCCCATCACCTCACAGCCGGGTCGATGGACTCGACGAATTCATGCAGCTAAATAACGACTTCATCACACCCGACACAAACTACCAGGACATGATGGTCTGGCCCGAATACCCCATTGAGCTTGACATGTACTCCGGCCAGCTGCCCATGTCGCGCCCGGATATGTCCATGCCGAGTTTCCCAGAGCTGAGCGACATGTCGTCGAGCTCTGCATCAGAGCCCATGACTGCCTCTTCCTCGCGAGGATCGATTCATACCAGAAGCACAAGCATCATGTCCACAGCTGATTTCGATGCCACGATGAAGCCGACAGAGCCCGCCCTTGGTATGTTGAGCGAGTCGACGATTCCAGAGTTCGAAGTTGTCATTGCCGCCGAAGACTCTTGGCCACTCGCCCGTTGCAACCCGCCCATCTACTCAGGCACCTGCCCAAGGACTGCCATCGTCCACCTGGAATGCTTGGAACGGAAGTCCAAGGAGGACAATACCTGGAGGTCTCTGGAGAAATACCTTGAGAATCTCGATTGGGATACCACGGATGCCTCGGTCATCCCCTCACCTCGCGTACTCGTGACCGGATGCTGGCCATCACGCAGTCGTTCCTCCAAAAAGCGCTGGACATTCACCGAAGCGGCCTGAACAACGGATATTCCAAAACCGGCTATGCCACTCCCAGCGAATTCAACTTCATCGTGCTTCCTCCCACCAAGATCCTCGAGTATTTCCTTCGCAGCTACGTTCGTAGCTTACAGTACTACTATTCCCTCATCGTCGCTGGATGTGTTGACCCCAACGAGATGCTTCTTAACAACCAGGCGTCGACACTGTTGCTTTTGTTGATGATTGCGCAAGGCGCCTCCGCCGTGCCGATGGCAGAGGCTCGGTACCTCGCCGCTGGTCTGACCGAGACGTGTCGTATCTCGCTCTTTGACATCATTGAGAAAGATGTCGAGTTGTCGGCCGACCCGGTTGCCTTGCGGTGTGCTTTGTTGTTCACATTGCAAGGTGCCTGGAGCGGGGACAAGTGGCTGATGGACATCGCCATGGGACAAAGGGGAATGTACTTGTCGGTAAGCAGTCACGATCCTTCGTATTTTTTGTTGAGGAGCCCACTGACATAGAAGCAGATGCTGAAACATGCCGGCATGCTGGAGCCTCAACCCTCAATGATTCCGACTTTGAACAGCACAACGAGCACCGAGCTGCAATGGCGCGCGTGGTTGCATCGCGAGATGCAGAACCGACTCGTCTACAACTGGGTCATGTGCGACCAAGAGCTCAGCCTGTTCCATGACACGCCTCCTCAGTTGGCCATTACCGATCTCCAATGTCCTCTCCCCAGCCCCGAGGCCCTCTGGTTGGCGCCGAACTCAGAGCAATGGTTCGCCAACGTCCAGAGCCTCTATGGATGTACCGCGAACGTCAACCCGCAACTCCTCTCCAGCCCTTCCATCACACCTTCTCTTTGCGAGCTCTTCCAAGACTTCCTCCACGACAACCTCTCCCGTCGCCAAGCTGGTCTCTCTCCTCAACAGCTCCGTCTTCTCCTCCACCCTCTTCAATCTCTCCTTTGCCACTTGAGACAGATGCTTTCCTGCTTCTCAGACGTGCTATCCACCAGACGTGCGACCTCGCGGACCATTACCAAGTCGAGCACCATGCTTCGCCTTGAGGAGGTTCAGGCACTTCTTCAGAAGTGGTACGAGCTCACCATGTCTTTCTACAAGAGCAACCCCAACTGCACGACCACCCGTTGCAACTTAGTCCTCTACCATCTCATCTCTCTCAACGCAGTCACCAACTTCCCCGAGATCGAGCGCCTCGCCCGTCGCGACGGGTTTGACGGTTCCTACTGGGAGTTGAGTCTGCGCCACAAGCGCTGCATCTACAACCGTGAGGAGGCTATCTTCCATTCCGGCCAGGTTATGCGCCTCTTGCGCTCCATGCCCGCCGACCGCCGCCCGTGCTGGTGGCCCGCCGGTGTCTACCGCGCTACCCTCATACTCTGGGCCGACAGCGTCGCACGTCTCGACCCCAACTTCCAAAAGGCCCAGGCCCAACAGACCTCCTCGCCTGTATCCCAGCATCAGAGCTCAAGTCCCGAACACCTCAGCGGCGCAGGCGCCTCTAACGCAGCTACGAGTGGACAACACGGCAGCGGCAACATTGTTGCCATTGACCAGGTCACACCCGAGGACCCGGCTGTTATTTCCTACTTGTGGAGCGGAGGTGATGGCATCCCCGTTCTCACCCGGCGCGATGGCACCACGATGGGCTTGGAAAAGCCCGCGGAGGTCATCAATTACGGTGTCATGGCCATCGAAGAGGGCGTCACCTGTCGCATCGGCGACGGAATAAGACGCAAGCTCATTACTCTCAACAACAACTGGAACGTTGACGGCTTGGCCGCCACTGCCACTGCTTGAGGGTTTTCTCATTACCCCTTTCTTTAATCAACGGCAACTACAAAAAAGTGCTTCTTTTCTTGCTATGTTTTATAATATTTGCATATATGGCTTTTGTCAATGTTCTTCGGGTGGCATTCCAAACCCTGTACAATGAATGCTCTGGGTATTCTTATTTGGCGTTTATGAGTAACGACACTCTGGCTACACATTTAGGGAAACATGAACTGGGAAAGGGGCCTCTGGTCAAGCAAGCTCGTCACTGATGATCCGGGAGACGCACAACAACTGCAGCGGCGTTTGCAAGCATGGCAGCGATGAGATTTCAACTTTGCTTTACTTCCTTTCTTTCACAATACGTCTACTAGATACCTCGGGCCACTGGTCATGATAAGGGAGGGCCTTCGCTTCTACGCAGCATGTACTTTACTTTTTACATACACTTGCCAACCTACAAGCTTTAACTTGATCCTATCTCAATCATTCTTATGATTTTCGAGGGTTTTTTGTTCAACAATCAAAAATCCGAGAAGTCGACGGCCTGTGACTCGGCTTTGGTGAACACTAATAATCAGTCACGATCTTTTGTCTACTTTAGGGCATCAAATCGCATTGTATGACGAATGCTGACACAACATCAAACCCGACAGGGCATGTGACAAGCAGCATAATTAGGAAATCATCTTGTGATTTCGTTCAGGGGTGCTACGAAAAGCATCTTTGCGCATGTGAAAATCATCCTCTCCCCCGGAAAGGTCGTGTAAGCACTTGTAAGCATCCTGTTCCCTGCAGACTCGATTTAGGAACTCATCCCGAGAAACTACGGGAAGCCAAGACACGAGACAAAGATTCGAAAAAGGCTGCCCAGCACCACCTTTTTGCGAGCTTGGCTAATCTAGCATGCCTAGGGGATTCCGTTCCATGACCCGGCGGAGTGGCCAGGCTAAAAGAGACATCGGATGGAACTAGACACCAGGCGGAGTAGAGCGGTCTAGCAGGCCCGTGTGGATGGGTGAGCGGCCTTCGGTCGGTGATAACCTTCGGGACACGATCTTTTAAAAGTCTGGCCAAGGAGCTATCCTCATCTTGATGGATGAGATGAGCAGAGTTGGCATCACAATGACCCAATTCTGGACAGAATTGGTTGCGAAGGCGGCACCCAACCAAAACATGGGTGTTGAGGTTGGCAGGGGGTTGCTTGTATAACGCCCATCATCTTGAACATGGTAATGGGGGGGGGGGGGGGGGGTTCAGGCTCTCGCGTTTGGAAACGGGAGCTTAAACGGACAGACTAATCACATACGAAAAAAGATGACAAAATCACAAACTAGGGGTAGCGGAGCAGCTTTGGCATTTCGTAAGGAGGACTGCTCGTTGGCTGGTATGATGTTTCGGTATGCGCTGTGATGCAAAATGGTAGCGTGGGAAAGATGGGATGGTCTACGGCGGTTCCTTTGGGCTTCTCAAGGCAAGCGGTTCCTTGGCACGCCCAAGATGCGAGAAGGCCACTGGGTTCGGCCTCCTCTCTCGTTGCGAGCGGCCGACCGCGGGGGTGGTTGGCTGTGTCTTCGGGAAGCGCGGAGGGGGGACTGGCAGGCGTGACCTAAAAGGAGACGGGCGGCGTCTCGAGTCGCACTGCCGAATGCGAACCCTCGCGATACACCGTGACACACCGAGTTTGCAACCCGAGGCCGAGGGAAGCGTCTTGCTTTTGCACGACGGAGGCGGCACGGCGGCACGAGAGGAGACTGCGGGCGCCCGAGGAATCCCACGAGTTGAGTGGACAGGAAACGAGGCGTATGTGTTTCACGAGGCAAGAAGACGGATTCGGTTCTCTTTTCAGAAAGGACATTGTCATAGTCCATACGTGTTGTCCAATCTTTGCGACGGGCCGGCAGTCAGCAACGGATTGCCTTTTCGCCTGTTGTCGCAGGGGTTTCCTGAGAAAAAGCAAGAGATACCATACCGCGGTATGGGTGGTCTTGGAACTCAAGAGGCCGGGTTTCCCTGTCCACCAGTGCATGCGGTGGTTTGTTTTTGCCTTTGTATGGCATACACCTAGTGTTTTGACAGTCCCTTTTTGACATAAGGTGTGGTGGAAGAGAGTTGGCTGACGCGAGGTGATAATTTCGGCAGCTCGGCCTGTCAAAGCGGAACAGTCCAGCAGACCTCCCATGGAGGAGGCAGGCCTCCTAGTCCTTGAACCCTGGCCAAGGAACTTATCACGAACCTTAACTCCGTTGGTTCAAGAGTGGCCGTTGTGGGAGGAGCGGGATTAGGGAAAGTTCCCGCCCTTGGTAGGTGTAGTAGAGGGTGTGTCGAAACAAACAGAAACTCGTCTCAAGTTTCTGAAAGCTCCCAAGTCTGACCGTACGATTACGTGGGCTGCTGGGAGGGTGTGGTCGGCCGAGGCCCACAACCTACCGGCGGGCGAGTAGCATCGTCGAAGACGCAGGGACACCGGGCCCTTTGGAAGGTTACTGTAGTGTCGGTGTTGGACCAATGGAAAGACGGCTTCTCTGGGAGGAACACCTAGGAAATGGGAGATTGCCAAGGTTCTTCAAACCGAGGTGGTGGGGGAGTACAACGGGAATGGTCTCATCAAGGCTTTTAAGCTCAGTAGGTGATGTGTTTTGACTCCTGAGGCGCCCTCGCGGGTCAGTGACCTTCTTTTTTGACGTGGTTGTATGCCCAAGCGACGGCAACGATTTCGGCTTTTGTGGTTGTGAGTGGTTTATATGATGTAAGCTTATGTCCTCAGACCAGATAGTTTGTGTTGTGTATAATTTCGGTGTGAAATGGCCATCTTCGTAGCTTCTTGGAGAAAGTCTGTCAATCGATGATAATCTTACCATGATATCTCGGCTTATTAGTCCATTGCGGGCTAGAATCCACAAACACCTTGGTGGCGACCAACCTTTGTGCTAACGCGGGCAGAAAGCCCCTCGACATTGGGTTTGGCTTTAGGACCTGAGAAAAGAAACGTCATAGGCTACGGCGCAAAGCTGACGAACGGCTGCGCTCCCCGACAAATTTTGACAGCTACTGGTCGGCGTCATAGTCGATAAACAGACCGATGGGTGCGATATGCTATGTAAGAGATGTCCATTCAGGAATTGAGACGGCAAGAAGGATAGCCCCGGCCGTGCAGTTTTGATTTCGTGCAGCATGACAGCCCGGATTAGTAATGGAACGGGCTATTCTTTCATCGGCACGTGGTTTGCTACCTTGATGACAGAACGGTCGAGCTTTGGGGTGAATCAGCCCAAGGGAGGCTGTAGAGACGAGTTCTAAACATTGCCCTATTGTTTATTTGCAGGAAACTATAGGATCTTGGGGCCAAACCGAATTCGATCATTGGTAATCTGTATAGTTTTCGTCTTGTCAAAGGAGCGAGACTGTCTGATGAAGGGCAAGATGGTCGATTCGTCCAGGCTGAGGCATCGGCGACTCATCCGATAGACGGCAAGAAGCAGTATTTCAGGTGCATCTGACCCGGATAGTCTCCCCAATTCCAGCCGTCATCAATCGTCAGTCAATCTTGATGAGCGATTTTCGGTGTTTCAGACGGCCTGGTGGAAGCCCGGACCCTCTGTTCCTGCACCGATCTGGATCGCAGTACCCGGGCTGCCAAACGTCAATCAAAGCCCTTGACTACACGGGCCGCGGCTTTGATCAATACATCGTCCAGCCCTCTGACATCTGACATGCTGACGCCGAATGTAGGTATGGACCATGAAGCCGCGCAGGGACAGCCTCCAGTCCGACAGTGTCCCGAAACTCTGGACAGGCGCATGGTGACCAGATTCGAACCTACATCCGCGGATTTTCGACCCGGGGCATTGGAAGAATGTACGCGCCTGGACCCAGTGCGCTGCGCTACGAAAGGGCTTGTGTGACAGTCTCGCGTCTCGCTCTTCGGTAGCCGCCACTCGCTGTCATCGGCGTTTGTGGTGTTTTGGCAGCGGGAGCACGCGCGGCGTCGATGACTTGAAGTGAAAACCAACTCATGGAAGGCGAGAGCAGGCATATTTTACCATTGCTGAGGGTTCCAACACGACTGATCGAGGCCCCAACACAGGAATGCGAGTGATGGTGACGCAAGCAAACACCCTTTTGTGGTACTCGAGAGAACCAGGCAAGGGATGAGCGGTGCTCTCGGGCCTTGGACCTATCTTTCAGTACTCGTCGATCTTGGTTTTGATACCTTTGGTGGAAGAGGTTACTGTAAGTCACCAGTTCATAGGCTGCCTTTTGTTTGTCCAGCGTCCGTGCAAGTGGTTTAATGGTGCCTGGAAATCCATTGTAAGAACCTCATACATTGTCCCATGCGCCTAATGATACCCCGGCCACGAGATCCGCATCGTAAAAAATGCAGTATGCTGTTGCTTCCCTGAGCGGTCAACTCGATTGAGTGCATCGTCAAATGTCGGCTAAGATAACTGCACGGCAAATGACAACCCTATCCCAGTACAGCAAGCATGGTTGACGTTATATGATGATGCGGGCCCGGCGGGTATGTGTGGACCCTCCCGCGATCGTTAAAGCCTCTCCGTGGGCCCTGATCCTTGCGCCCTTCGGTCAATAGTTGTTCCTTTCCGGGGGGTAACATCCTTAATGGTCATCCCATGACTACACCGGGCCAACGGTTTCCTCGACGAATACTCGGGCCTTCGCGTTTATGGTAATTGACGCGACTCGAGATCGTCTGTCTTTCCAGCACGGCAACCGAAAACACGGACGACCGGCTCACATCACAACAACTGCGCCAGGGGAGGGGCAAGCAAAGCAAATAGGGGACAGATAGACCCCTACGCGTGTGGCCGGACCTCCGTTGGGGGTGGGGTGGCCCCTCCGTGGCGGCGGCGGCGGCGTGGGTGCACCGGTTCCTGGCGCCGCGCGACCGCCCTGACATGGGCTCCGCCGGCTGGACTAGACGCAGCGCTACCGCCAGCTTAGCCGTCGCATCGCCATTGTGCAGGTTCAGTTGAGTGATCGACCCTACGTGCGAGTGCCGTGGCAACCAGAGACCTAGCCCATGCTTTCCCAAAAGACTAGAGGGGACGGACAAAGAAGAAAACAAAACAACACACACAACATCAAACAGGGCTTGGAGTGGACAATCTGGGACCGATCTCTCCCCACACCGTCCCCTGGCAGGCCTGGGTCTCCAAACCTCCGGCGATTGACTCCGGGGTCGAATTCCCCAAAACTAGGGCCCTTGGACGGCGGCCTATTGCTGTCTAAATTGGCAACTGTTGTGCATCCCATCCAAACTGAGAGTGCTCCAGATGTAGTTTCATCCACAGCGTCAGGCCTACACAATCGTTGTCGGCCAGTTGTCGGCCACGACGAACAAAAGCAACCTTGATTGTTTGGCTACTAGAGACTTGCCTCAACCTCCCCCGCCGTGGCGTCTGGTCTGGAGACGACGGACTGCCCTTCCTTTGCCGCCCCTTTGGCGAAGAAGCGCACTGGGGCGCCAACGCGTGGGCCTCCCCCATCCCGTTTCTCTCCTAGTGCTCCCTCCTGCTCTCCTCCATGTCCCCCGGGCCCGGATCCTAGCTGAATCCACCCCCAATGCAAGGCGTCTCGCTACCCGGCGGAGGTGCGGGCGGGCGACTGGGCGGACATGCGTTCGGTGCTTCGCCTTTTACTCACAAAGCGCCGACTGAACAATATCGACACCCGTATATAACTTCCTCGTCGCAACCGCCATAACCCAGCTTCTCTTTCTCTCATCCTCACCACCTTCCTTCTTCCATTCTCTTAGCCACAGTCTTTTGCAACTATGGCTCCTTCCGCGACTGAGAACTCCGCTGCCCAGCAATCTGCCGGGTACGATGCGGCCCGCCCCTTTGTCGGCAAGGTCGCCCTGATCACCGGCTCCGGCCGTGGTATCGGACGCGGCATTGCCCTGGAGCTCGGCAAGCGCGGCGCCAGCGTCGTCGTCAACTACGCCTCGTCCGCCTCGGCCGCCGAGGAGGTCGTCGCCGAGATCCAAAAGTCCGGCTCTAAGGCCATCGCCCTCAAGGCCGACATCAGCAAGCCCGCCCAGGTCGTCGACCTCTTTGACCGCGCCGTCGCCCACTTTGGCCGCATGGACTTTGTCATCTCCAACTCCGGCAAGGAGGTTTGGTGCCCCGAGGAGGAGGTTACCGAGGAGCTCTTCCAGAACATCTTCGACCTCAACACCCGCGGCCAGTTCTTCGTCGCCCAGCAGGGTCTGAAGCACTGCGGACGCGGCGGTCGCATCCTCCTGACCTCGTCCATCGCCGCCCAGATGGGCGGCATCCCCAACCACGCCCTGTACGCCGGCTCCAAGGCCGCCGTCGAGGGCTTCACCCGTGCCTTCGCCGTCGACTGCGGTGCCAAGGGCATCACCGTCAACGCCATCGCCCCCGGCGGTGTCAAGACCGACATGTACGACGAGAACTCGTGGCACTACGTCCCCAACGGCTACAAGGGCATGCCCATCGAGATCATCGACCAGGGCCTGGCCAACATGAACCCCCTCAAGCGTGTCGGTGTTCCCGCCGACGTTGGCAAGGTCGTTGCCTCCCTCTGCCACTCCGACTGCGAGTGGATCAACGGTAAGTTTGCTACCTGCTCTACACAGAAACCCCCTACAAAGACGAGTGGTTCGGCTGCTAACTCACACAACAGGTCAGGTCATCAAGGTCACCGGCGGTGGCACATAAGTGCAATAATGCCCAAACTCGGTGCGCTGCCCCATCCGTGCGGGGCTGCCATCGTGATACCTTAATGCATTGGACCGCAAGGTGAGCCGGACGCCTGCGGTCCCTGGGTCTGGGGTCTGGTCGGTAATATGGGGGCTACAGAAGATGGGGTTTTACATAACACACATCTAGGACAGGCGTATGTAGAAGACATCATGAATCAAATGAGAGCTTGACTAGGAAAACTTGCCTGCCTTACTGCACCCTATCGTGAAGGTCGTGACTCGCCATTGGCCGACGGCGACCGAGTTGAGGCTACCGAATCGAGGCTTCAATTCGGTCCTAGTCACTGGTCGCCTTTGGCCCTCCTTGTCTGTCAATACTAGACTCCGGGTCTCACACGGCTTGGCGACATGACTTTGACTTCTCCGCGCGCCAAGATGGCGAGACCTGCCAGCGGATTTTACACAAAAACAACAAAGGCGAAGTAAGTATCTTGAACGTTGTATTGGCCTATCTCCAGGCCTACTGAGGCTGCCAACAGCTGTCCAGAGAATGCACGACATCCACGACTGTGGCGGCGGTTCTGCATTAGGCCCCTCCTTCTCCTCGCCAGTTCCATGGCGTGCCGCCCCCGTGCCCGTCTCCTCCGGTCCAGACCATTCGTCAGCATAACAAAAGTGTAAATCGGGGGAGGCGGAGCCCCGGACCGCTCGGCGTCTCCCCAGCTTATGATCGGCATATATCGAGTTACCGATACTTGCGCAGTCGGTCGGTGTACACGGTGAGACTCAACGAAAACACACCTTTTTTGTTTTGTGGCTTTCCGCAGGAGAGAGGGCCGAGTTTGGAATCATTACCACCTTTTGCGATAAGTGCCAGCAGCAGTCAGCATGGCTACATCAGTGCGTTCGTAGTCATCATGCCAGGGAACAGGTCACGACAGTGCATTGCTTGGCTTTGCCAGCTCAGTCTTTTTGCCGTGTTTGTAAGGACACCGAGTTTGGGTCTGAGCATGTTCAACACTTTGAGGGAGGGGACTCGCCCCACAAAGCTAGATAGATATAACGACACCGTAATCATCTCGAAACGTAAAGGATCACCGGCTTCGTGGCATGTTTTCCTATCGTCCCCGGGAAAAGCGTCTAGGAATCGTATGTAAGACAGGGGAACCAGGGAAAATGGGAAGTGTACCCGGACGTCAGGTTGGCAAAAAAAGGGGACAGGCAGTCAGCGCACGAAAGTGGATTTGCTCTGCCTCTTTGCTGACAGCCGGCGCTACATACAGCGCCCGGAAATCCGCCAATGCTGACACTGGCATCGCACTTGGGAGGGGGATATGATCCTGGTCCTGCGCTTCTTCCTGCACTTGCGAACCGACAAAGACCTTGCAAGGTGCTGTGTAACAACGGCGGAGGCGGACTTGTCAAAGTCGGACCAGGCCCCCCAGCTGACGGACGGCACGCCGGTACCGAGAAAGGAACTTAGATTCTGACCTGCTAAGACTCCTAAATCCAACTTCGGCGCTGTGAAACGCTCACTAAGGCCAGGTGTCCGTCACGCTTGCATGTTGATGCTAATCAAAGCAACAAAAGTGTAACCAGGCGGTAGGTTCAGCCCCGGCGTCCCTCCCGGTCCAGGTCCGGGTCTTGCCAAATGAGGATTCTCGATCGGGGCCCCGATGTTTCACGGTTCCCTGACGTTCGGCAAGAGTGGGTACACCGCCCGCCAGCGCGGATCACCCCCGATGTCACGGTCTAGATTTGCCTAGCAGCACCGCCAACGCACTAATAAGTTGGTGCCAATTTTGGAAATGCTTTAACCCCTGGTCTGTTATTCTGAGAAGGCATGGCGCAAGGACAAAGGTATGGCTTTTGGCAGGATTTTGGCGCAATCAGAGAGAGAGAGATGACAAACGGTTGCCTGCTAGCCCCGGGTATCCCGTTGTGTCGAATTCGCAGCTTCCGCATTTCTGCCGGCTCACATGATGACCAAGATCCCCGATCGACGCTGCAGTCCGGCATCGGCAAGCTGCGGGGTTTGGGGTTTCACCGTCAGTCGTGTGCAAAGTGGCACCGTTCCACCGGCATGCAGCGCCGTTTCTGTCCCATTCACCGTCTTGTCTTGGCTGCTGGCCCCCAACGGTCGATATCTACCCAACTCTGTCCAGTGGTGTTGGCCAAACACATCTGTGATTCCCGGCCCCTGCTTCTTTGTCAGAATGTGGGCTTGGATGCCTCGCCCACCTGCTAATGCCATGGTACTCTGACATACATACATGGATACCGCCTACAAAAGCCTCTGGCCATGTGCAAGACGTCGCAAGAAACAACCTGACATAGCTGACGATGCCTGGAAAGGGTGCCGATGCCTACGAGCGGACCCGAGGACGTCAGCTGTGGTAATCGCTTCTCAGCTGTGACGTTAAGAAAGAAGTGCTCGCAGAACTGCTATTCCAGCTATGAAACTGGATCCTAAATGCCTAGCTATGTTCAAAAAAGCTTCGAAAGAATCCCCATCTCCGGGACGTGGCAAGTTGGTTTTCCATCTATTGGGACGGGTCAATGGCGGGGATACCCGGCCGTGCGAGATCCAGAGTCTCTACTGCAGAGGGAGTGGGTCCATGTACGTCAAAGGGAAGAGCCGTTCACAGAACTACCAGGTGTAGAGAAACATACGAGGTTCTTCTGTGAGGTAACGTCATTAGAAAGCAACCAGAGGCGTCAGAGGCTGGGGAAAAGTCTCGATGGCAGGAAGACTTGCATTGACACCCAGAATCGGGCAAACCAGAAGTATCGCTCGTCGGCAACATCACGCAGTGTCAGCCTCGTTATCTGGGCAGATCAACGGTCCAGACTGAATGCTAGACCCTCGTCATAGTCTCGGACAGCTCGGGAGTATTTGGGCGGAGCATAGACGTGGCCCTCTTGCTTCGCAGACTCCAGCTGTGTTGAAGCATGCCTCGGTGAATAGATTTTGTGGCTGATCGTTTCGTAAGACACCTGAAAACCAGTAGCATCTGTTTGAGCTGGGCTACTCCCTGCTGAAGAAAGCCACCAAATCCAATATTGAATGCAGAGCCTCCTTTGGGATGGTACGGTGAGGTGGTGTGATGGCTGTCACTGTGGTTGGCTGCGACCAAATAGAGGAGTTCTCGAGATACACATGGCAGGTTGACTAGATGCGATGATGCAGATGTGCAGCGGGCAAATGTCCAGAGGGTGGGGGGTAAGCTGGCGCCTGGATCGGGCGCACCCAATGCGCGCTTGCGGATACCAAGAGAAATAACGCACGATCAGAGGAAAAGACGCAAACTGAGACCAGTCCAAGTGACGAAAAGGAAGTTGAGGTTACACAAGCGCCGTCCACGGCGCCTGATTGCCCGATACACCCGTTGGCAGAAGAAAGTAGACGAACTGCAGACTAAGGCAATCTCCCCCCGCGTGGCAATTCGGTTATGGCGATCATTCCGTGTCTAGAGAGAAGATGCGAACATGGGATGGAATGGAATGGCATCGTTTTCTTGGGGTTACGGAGAATGAACCACGAGTCCATTGCCATTTGCCTCCGTCGTAGACCCAACGTCATGTGTCTGCATCCTAGGTAGATAGGGTGCTCCACAGGCGGCAGGGAGCCCAGAGGAGCCAAGACTGCAACGTCGGAAACTTTGTCCCAGAACAATTGACTGATTGTCGATCTTGCAAGTGGTATTGCGGGTGGGTTGGGCTGGTTCGGGACCGACCGCACATAAAAACGGAGCCTTGGTCATGATGCGGGCCACCTCGCACCTCTCATGTGCTGGCACCGAGAGATGAAGGCGAGCGCATCTATTGCCTTTTCCAGGGGTCGTTGGTTGTCCGCGGCACGAGCAGCAATTGTGTGCCAAGAGCTGGCAGCTAAGCAACCAGTACCCTGGTAGATACCGACGAGATGCAAATCCTCCGCACTTGATAGGACGTGTTGCGAGGTTTGCATCTTGGGGAGGGATGGTATGGCGATGCAAGTTGGAGGTTGTGTGGCTGACCGGTTCTCGCTCCTGGTGGTGGGTGTGGTGGTGTACGGGCGCGGCTTCACGGACGGCTCCCAATTCGTGAGGGTCTACGGTTGCTCAAGCATAAGCTGGCTGCACAAGGCCATCCAGTTCCCCGACTTAAGCCAGTGAAATCATTGTGCCGTCGGGAGGGCGTCGACTGGGCCTATCGGGCGATAGGCGTACCTTCGTCGGTGTAAGTGAGCGCCGATGGCGAAGACATGAAGGAGGGTAAGATTGAGGTGCTGAGGGTGGTGCGGGAGGAGGAAGAGCCAAGGAGTCCTGCGGGTGACTTAGCGTCCCTTCACCTCCATTCACGAAGGACTCGTGGTCCAACTCCTGCTTGTCGACCGTTCGGGCATGGGAGGAAAGAGGAAAATAGGCGGCAAAATTCGCGTTCCTCTAGGCCTTTCCCAATCTCTGGCGCAAGGTTATTGGAGGCAGCAAGTGCACGTTGGATACCATGGCGCACCTCAGTCACTACCCAGCCACTCTAACCTGCAACCTCGAAGGCGAGATAAGGTGATGCCGTGTATGACTAAGCTCCGTCGGGCCAAATCCCGGCTTTAGGGCACCGCCAGGGACTCAATGTCGCCTCATCGAGTCCTGTCTTTGGTTCATTCCTTTGCGTCTCTGAGACCTCGCAGCAGCAGCAGCAGCACCAGCACCAGCATCAGCAGGAGCATCATCATCGTCATCGTCAACAACAACATCACCGCGTAGTCTCTCACCCAATCGATTCCGATCACCGTCAGCACGAATGGTCTGATCCCACACGGTAGGACCCCCGCCGAAGGCCTATTCGATTCGGAAAAGGCACCCGGTCAAGAGCTCGAAACCCGTCCTTGCTATCGACGGCCCAGACAAGCCCGACTGCAGACCCTAGCTGATTCGACTTGCGCAGGACGGCCAGACCACACTCCTCTGTTGCATGGCAGTTGTGGCGCAAACTGCCATCACCTTACACGTCCTTCTTCAGACCTTGCCCCGTCGTTGCCTTTGGAAGTAGGTATCAATCCAAGCCGTCGTCTTCGGCACTCGTAACGAGTGAGACACTGCGCAGCTTGTTTGGTCAACACGCCAAAGAGACACTCGCATTATCTTGGCACGGATGAAAGCAGGTCTTGCCGCTGAAATGATCACCGTCAACCTCACGAAGCTGCCTCCAGCCCAGAACCCGATGTTGCAGCCGTTTAGTTCCACAGACGTCAAGCCATGCACTGTCTGAGCAGACTTGGACTCGAGCAACCGAGGCAAGGCCTTACCCTCGGGCATCTGCGTTAGGAAGTCTTCGCCGCTCCAATGTATCTTGCCGTACTTCCCCGTTGTCAGACAGGTGATGATCCCCGTGGACTGGGATTCGCCCGTGCCACCTACAGCGCCCCCTCGAGCATCAGAGACGTGAACATGAAGGGCATATCAAGACTTGCGACGGTTCAATCAGATGTTCGGCCAAGACCTCCCATCTTCAAGCAACATCATCCGTTGGGTCAGGCATTCTCGGGAGTCTCCCGATGAAAACGGGGCCAGGACATCAACGTACTGTACTGGGCTTGGGCATTTGATTTCCGTGCTTGTTTGATGTCAAATCACCCCAAAAACGCGCTAACCAGCGACCATGCCACCCAGTTCGCCATACGAAGCAGGCCAAGGCTTGCGGGAAGCTGCTTCATCGACAAGCACCTCCGCATCGATCCGCCACTGATCTGTTTGCCTTTTTGGTAGGTGGAGAATGTAACTGGACTCGAGACGAACGAGGGGTCGGATAGGGGCCAGCGGCTGGCGGCATCATAGTTCACTTGGAGAGTGTTGGAGATTTGAATCGACGACACACATGACGCGCAACTACCAACCGTTCGCCAGTTTCTTCAGGGATATTGCCTCTTAAGGCAATGCCTGCTTCCTGAGCTCCAACACCAGCCTTTTGCAGTGGCCAGCCTTGCACCAAAGCAAAAGGCGTTATCGAGCCCTTGATAGCTTCCCACCATCCGAGATCGGTTTGAGGTCTAGGTCGTGGAAAGGCTGCGAGGCGTTCCGATGGTTGTGGAGCGCCACATCTCATCCAAATGATCGTTCAACTGGAAATGTAGCCATACACAGCCTTGAGTACCCAGCCAAGTATCCTGGAGCCGGCGCTTACCACTTGACTGTGACCAAGTATGCCAGTCACTCATGATGACAAGTTTTCTTACTCCGGCTAGAAACAACGTTTCTCAATCAATATGGTCCTACATTCTCCCCGGTATAAGCTTCGTCTGGCAATTTTCTGTCCCTGTCCTACCCAATCAAACCAGACTCCTGGGGCTTCCATCATGACCTCCCCGCGGACCAGGTGATACCTCTTTCCACCAGGGTTTCTGCAGCGCGAAGAAAAAAACATCCGACATAGTAGTTGATTAGCTTCCCAAGGGCCTGGAGGGAACTGAGAGCTCTTCAGGCACGCTGCTTCGGCAAGCCCTCCCGATCCACGTTTTGCTCGATACATTCTTGCTCCTCTTTGACCCCTTTTGCCCCCTGGGAGTCGCTTTGTTCCCCCTTTGCTCCCAAGCATCTGGCAGGAGAAGCGGCAGCCCGCCTGCAGACGGAGGCCGTGTTCTGGGACGATGAAGCCAAAGAACCCTCGAGACTGCATGACAAACGCCCTTCGAAGCACGTAAGAGCTTGGACCTCGAGACCTAACCACGCTTCTTCCACTGCGCGTACGGGTGCTGCGCCGTCGCCTCACAACATGCAGGTCAGAACTACATTCCTCCCATCACCACCGTCCGTGCTTTTCCCTTCTTTCCAGCTTTCCGGGCTGCCATGTTGAGCACTCGGCAGGTACATCACAAGATGAACGTCGAAGGTCAGCCCGTACCTCTCTCTCTACATCCTCGTACGTCTCACCGTCTCTGGTCTGCCACCCCCTTCAGCCTTGGCAAGTAGATCAAAATGGCCACAAACCGCTTGAGACCCTCGCCTCAAGATATGCGTACGTAACCTTCAACCCTTCACCAGAGGGGGGTTCTAGCCGGGCCCCAATTCTCCATTCCCAAAAAAACTGTCAGCAACCTCTAGCGGGATAAGGCTCTTGTCCGAAAGCGCAGGTTGCCACTGAGGTCCAGTATACCCTCCCCGCCTTGTGACAAAACAGCCTCAAAACAAACGTCAGGCAGGGTTTTGTGTGTACCAGGCCAACCACCGTCGCCTCGACTCTTGGCCCTGCGTCGGGGAATATTCTCTACCCCGACTCGTCATTTCCACGGCTTGTGGGCTGGCGTCGTAACCCATCCAAGAGCTCTTTGGGGGCCCAACACTGGCTTGCATGTTTAGAAACAACCAGCGGCTGACACCGAGCCGGCCTCATTGGATCGAGCTATGAAAAGAATGCCGCGTACGCATGAGATAAGCCCCAAATCCTCACGTCCTTCCCGGACATCTCCAAACCGTCCGTGCTATGGAAGGGGAGGGGAGATCTCGTCACGTCAGCCACAGATCACAAGCTACAGGAGACGGCATTCGCCCGCGCACGTCCGCACGACACATTGGGCATCAGGTACGGCGTTGAGGCGAGAGGCGGCAAGGGCTGTAGGTTGACAAGCGGAAGGGACGGGAAGGGGAGGGAAGCGCAGAAAGAGGCGCAGAGCAGCCCTTTCCGAGAGGACGAGCCTGCCGACTCGGACGGGGTTGGTTGGGCGGAGGCAGCTGTCAAGGTGAGAAAAGGTGCGGTGAGCGAGGTGAGAGGTGAGAGAAAGATGGAGAGTAAGAGTAAGAGAGAGAGAGAGAGGGTGCGCCACGGCGACGGGGATAAGAAGAGTCGGCCACTGCCGAGAAGTTGGGTATTAGTTGGATAGCCCCACACGGCAAGGCTAATGCAACCTCTTCGACAGGAGGGCCATGCAACCACCTTGACAAAAACGCACGTGGGAGAAGGAGTCTCTCGTGTTACCCAACCTCCTCGCTCTCTTCGCACAGCACAAGGCATAGCCCTTTTCTTTTCGTTTCTTTTCTTCTTCTTTGTTCCTTTGCCTGTTGCTGCTGACAAAACCGTGGCCGACGGCATGTGGGGACGAGATCCGCTTCTCTCGGCCAGGTCTGAACGTGGGACACCAATGATCGAGGTTGCGTCAGATTCCGAACCCAGGTTCTGGTACTGCATGTAGGGGATTATGGTAAGAAGGGCTGGAGAGTGTTTCCGTATAGGCACGATGATGACATTTGCTACCATTGTTGGCTATTCCTACCTAGACAAGGTGCTGACACAACCCGACTGTCTGTTTCTCTCTCGCTCTCGCTCTATTTACCTAGTTACTGTTGGTCCTGGCCTCCTCAACCTTGTCCTCCTTGGTCTTCGTCCGAAGCGTCAAAGTGCCGAAGGGGGACGCCATAATACAATTAACTCCTTCCGATGAACCCACCCTTCCCGGTTACTCGCTATGGATGAGGAAGAAACGAAGAAAAAAAGGACAAAGTCCGATGAAAGGGAAAAGTCCGAAAGTTTGTTTGAAAGTTCTGCTTTCCCATTGAAAAAAACAACGAAGATCTGCCTCGTGCGCTCTCTTTTTGTTACCCCTCTCCCACTTGCCGTCCAGTTCTATCCCGTCTTCCTATTGTTGTCCCAAAGTGAGTGACATTGACATAGTATGTATCTCTCTCAGAAAAATAAGTAAACCAAAACCCCTCGTTTCGCCAGCCCATCGAGTTGAAGAGTTTCAATCAACGCCAAACAATGTACATTCCAATAAAATAAAATAAAAGTCACCAAGAACCGGTGTACCCCCGCCCCTGGATAAATCGTACTCCGTAGAGTCGGTAGTGGTGAATGCTCATGTCGGTCGTGTCGAGAGCGCACCTTCGCTTCGGCGCTCTATGTGATTCAGTCAAGAATCTTATGCGTATTTCGGCGTGTCCTATTCGTTGTCGCTTTTTGGGGGGTTGTGGTGCGACTAAGCATAGCTCATGTCTCCTTTGCGATGGCTGACGACCTCAAGTGTCGTGCCAAGGTTGTGGCCGAGGTAGCCAATCATGGCTTTGCTGACTTCAGGATCTTCCGAGAGATCGGCACACACCTCACGGAACTGCGCGTAGACCTCCTCCAACTTGCGAAGCTCGCGATTCAGGATCTCAAGCTCGAGCCATCTGCCATCCTCACCACCCAGCGTGTACGCACCGAGGCTGACGCCGAGCCCTCCCCCGGGGCTGAGCTGGTTGACCTGGGGCACCATGCCGTTCTCAAAGTAGGTGTGGCTGGCGTTCTTGTAAAAGCTTGTGATCTTGCCGATGACGGTGGCCAGAAGCATGGCGGCTGTGTGAGTGCCCGAGCGGCTCATGCATCTGTTGCAAGAAAGCATGGCGGCACATCCCTCTACAGCCTTGCGGTTGAGGGAGAGCACAAGATCGAAGGGCGGCGCTTGTGGGGACGAAGCGTTGTGCAGGGCCTGGAGTGACTGCAGGCAAACGGTGAAGCAAGTGCAAGAACCGCCGCCTCCCGATGATGAAGACTTGTGCCTGACTGCCGGACGCATATTGGGCGTAGTGGAGGGACTTGGGAAATAGGCTGCCGCGGCCATGTTGCTCGATGTTGGCATTGCTGTGTACGGCATCATATCATGCTGCGATGGGTCTCCCCAAGGCGCCATATGGGCTGCCATGGCCATTTCCATAGACTGGGAGCGCCCATGGTGAGGGTTCATGTGTGCGGTGGCCATCGTCATATCGGGATACGGCGCTGCAGAGAAGTCTGTAGGAGGTGTCCAGGGCATGCCGCCTCCGTACATGTCCGCTGTCGGATCTTGGTCTCGGGGGGTTGTGTCATCGACACCGAGCATCGCAAGACCAGACGATATGGACGGGTTTCTGGTCATGGCACCCTCCATGCTCGTGGGGGTGTGCCAGCCGGGCTCCATCTTGTACATGCCGGGGTGCTGACCGAACATGAGGTTCTTTTCGTCCATGATGGGAGACAGGTCGGTCATGTCCATGTGGACGGTGTTGGCGTGGCTAGGCGCGCTGTGATCCGACTTTGGCTTGCCGGCTCTGCTTGAGGGGGAATAGCGACATTCGAGACCGCATGCGAGGCATCTAGAGCAGATGGGCCTTGCTTTGGAGCATTTGACCTTGGCCAAAAAGCATCCATCGCAAGAGGCCCGGAGTCGGGGCTGTCGAGGCTTGGAGCTGGAAGACATTGTTGATTATGGCGAGTCTCTCGAGGTTGTGAGGAGTTACTCTGAAAACAAGAGAGGATATCTTGATCTAACGAAGAAGTACAAGTCCAGGAAGTGTTGTGGTGGTGGTGGAGGGACAAGCGACTATTAAAGAATTGGACAAGGGCGGAATATATTAGAGTTCTCAAGGTGGTGAGAGTACGATGTCTGTGTGACAGTCGAGAGCGAGAATGTATAGGGCGGAAGAGGATTAGCAAGCTACTAAGGCTTCGTGTGGGAGTGCGATGAAGAGCAGAAAGAGCCCCGAGGGCCACGGATCGAGGATTAGGGCGACAGTCAGCGTAATCTAGCCGACTGCAAGGTAGACAGCGGCGAGGGCAAGGGAAAAAAACGGGGTTACGAAACAGGAACGGAAACGGTCACGGCCATTACCCAGTGTCCAAGAGGGACGAGCATGGAGTGAAAGTCCGGGTGTTTCTGTAGGAAGGGACGGGAGGAGGAGCTTGTGAGAGCGAGGAGCCTGCGACGTGGATGAAAAGGAGCGGACGATGAACGATTAAAAAAGCGAAGGCCTGATTTAGATATGCTATGCCGTTGGCTTATACACAAGGCCCCATCCATGTACATGGGGGCTGTGACTCTGATAGAGGGCGTGGACAGATGGACCAAGGTTTTCTTGGGTGACCCACTGTGGAGGGAGAAGAGAGAAAGACACACGCAGTGAGTGTGAGAGAGAGAAGCTCGCCTCAGGGTGAGGTGTGCATGTATGTACGAAAGCTACTAGTGTGAGCGACTGAGTGTGTGGTAAGAAAGGAGAGCAGACGGGGTTGCAGAGCGAGGGAAAAAGAAAACGGGCCATGCAAACGCCAACTTGGTACATTGCACTCGTTTATTGGTGTGGTGAACATGGGCTCATCCACACGCAGAGACCCTTGACACCCGAGTGCAATCGGCATTGGATAAGTCTCTCTTCTGTGCAGGCAAGAGCTTGCTCAACCGCTTGGACGAGGTGACCTGACCGGGGAGATAGAGGACTCGACAGCCAACCGGCAGCTCAGCACGGGGCAAAACCGAACAGAAGATGCCAAACCAGGCCAAGTTGAGGCATGGACAGGACAATTTGGGCTGGATGAAGCCTTGTCGGGGCATGCAGGCAACGTAGGTGGCACCCCGTTTGGGTCGGTGTAGGGAAGAGAGGGGAGCTGTGCTCGAGGCCATTCAGATGGGTGTCGCGGGAAATGATAGACTTTGGATTTGCCCTTTCTGGGTTCCCCAGCTTCCCCACGGGAATATCGCGACAGAAGTTGGGCTACCGGTAGTCGGTTCAGGAGTTCCCCATGCCAAAACCCAGACCCTGAAATCAGGGAGGGAAGGTGGACGGACAATGGGCATTTGTTGCCATCCATTAGGTGGCCGGACAACCAGGGCGAGAGGCAGAGAAGGTTTGGAGAGGACGGCGGCGTTTGTTGGTTCATGCTGAGAGCAGATCCCACAAGTTGCTCTGTGCTCTGGTGCGGTGCCGCGCGGTGTGGTGTGATATTGTGTGGGTTGATGCTGATAATGGCCCTCGCGGTGGTGATGGCTGTGGTGCGTGCTGGATATGGGGCCAGAGCAGTGACGGGCTCAGGGATGGGGGGATAACCCTGGCCTTGGATAAGGTAAGACGTGGGACGGTGGGAAACGGTTCGTTCCAAGTCGGCGTGGGAAAAAGTAAAATGGTCAGAGACAGCACAGCGACTGGGACAAGGAAGCGAGGCGGGAGGGAAGCGTGATGACGCTGGACTAAGTGGACTATGCGCCTGTGTGCCGTGTTCGGACACTGCTGGCAGGCATCGGGAAGGGTGCTTGGAATGCTCCACGAGCTGAGGTAAGGTTCTCCAAAATACGGTACGGTAAGACGGCAGAGCAAGGCAAGGCAAGGCAAGGCAAAGGTCAGAATGGCTCAGGCGCATCTGTGGGCAGCAAGCTCGGTCAGACCCAGACCCGACCGAAGCTGGTCGATTGGGTGAATGGGATGGGGAGCCATGTGCAGGGATTGGGGGACTAGAGCTGGAAGGAGATGCCGCATCGGGGAGCAGAATGGAAGGATTGGATGTCGGGATTGGACAACAGAGACAGAGGGGGACAAGGGCAGTTTTCCGAGTGTACCGGGCAACCAAGACTTGGGCAGGCTTGCTCACTGGAGCTTGAGTGGGCTCGGTCTGTTCGAATAGACCGGACGTTGGTCCGAGGACGAACGAATGCGTGTGCGAGGAGGACGACGACGACGACAAACGACCAAGGGCGAGCGGGAGTGGATCGAAGTGAGCAGTGGGAACAGACTACAGAGGCGGCGATGGGCGCTGCCGTGAATACGGGCAAAACAACAAAATTGGAGCTAAGAGAAGGTCATGTCTCTGGGGTAAAAAGGCGGACGGTCTAGTTTGGGAGTGGAGTGGCATTGACTGACTGTCAGAGTCAGATGTGCGAGGTTGAGGTATGTGAGGTGGAAAAAGACAATGGTACGAAGGCCTGAGGCGGGAGGCCGAGGAGAGGACCAAGGGGAGATGCATTGAGTGAAACGGGCTGAGATTGGGCAATGGAATATGACAATACAGGATCAATGAGCAGTAGAGCCGGCAGAGGCAGGGACTTTGGGAGACGGTACATGATTGGCGTGGCAGACCAGTCTGGGTGAGACCAGGAGCGGAAAGGTGCAATGCGCGAAGTACCCGCCTTCTTGACTTAATCTTCTTGCCGTGGGTTCCCTTTGTTGTTTCTCCAGGTCCAAAATGGAGCAGCAAGAAACCAAAAGCTCCTTCCCGTCGATAAAAGGCACAGGGAGTACGTACCGCTGTCTCTGGTAAATCTCCTTTGGTCTTGCATCATGTGACTCGCCAATGAGATGCGGTCCACATCGCCAGACGCCTTCCACAGACACGATGGGACGCGAAGATATCGTAATTCTGCATTTGCTTTCAGCTGCAATGCGGCCCTGTTTGTTACCATCCCCTTCCGAGAACCACACACAAGGTAGAATGTCGAAACCAGACTTCTCGACTTGTCAACGTTGCCTCCACGTCCCCCCAGTTCCCTGGCAAGTCCGTCTCTTTGCCGTCCCCTACCCCCGGCTTTCCCAACAGCGAGAGGAAGGTAGCGGGGAGCACGCCGTGGAACCGCGAGCCTAAGGCTGCACAACACGGCCAGGGGGGTTTCCTCTAGGCCCCTGCTTCCGCAGCTTTTCGAACAGGGAACCCCTGTTTTGTGAGGGGTGGAGGGGAGGATGGCAAGATCCCCTGGCCCCCCTTACGAAGCCTGGGAAGAAGCTTGGGCCGCTCTCCTAGGTACGTACCACCAGACCCATGTCTCTCTTTGATGCTCACCTCACTCTTGTCTGCGGAAGATCAGGCAGCCGTGATCTGAAGGAAGCAAGGAGTAGGAGCCAAAGTACGGGACGTTGCCACTGTCTACACTACATGCATGTAGCGCGCGCGCTTTCTCTCATGTCGAATGCTGGACGCGCCCAGATGCTATCGTACTCTCTCGGGGTTGCTGCACTTGGTGGCGAGGACGCACCAGTCGTGCATACCTAGGGAAGACGATCAACTCACGATGAATAATCACCTATGCATTCGCCCCGTTGTCAAAGCCAGCCAATATACGTTGGAACAAACTAAACAAGGTGCTTGTTCGTTTCTTCTGTCTTACGCGGGTTCCAGATCCAAGGCCATGCCAGATAAGCCAGTAGAATCGGCTGAAGCAGGACAGTGTGCCTTGGTCCTAGTTGTCTGTTGGGCTTGCCCTCCATCCCGTGCGAACACGGTACGTATCTATGGTATGGAGCTTTGTTGCAAAAGAGGGCACAAAGTACTAGTGGGCATCGAACGAACGGTTCGTCCGTCGTAGACCTAAGCAAGTACCTCGACATTGGCTGAGATAAAGCAGAGTCATCGGGCTTCGGATACTAGATAAAACCAGATATTACAACATCACCCGTGGAGCAACGTACTCGTTTTGTCAAGTCCCAAGTTATAGCGGGTTGCCGTGATCTCGGCGTCTTATCCGACATGGCATCTTTCCGACAGCCCCGTTGAACGGCGCTGACAGGACTCCAGAGTTGAAAATGTGCTCGTCATCCATCCCCGTCCTCACCTTCATTCCCACATTGCGGCCGATGGTGGATTTTTGTGGATTGAAGACACTGAGTCTAATGCATCTTGTGTTTCCACGCTCTGCTTCCCTCTCGGAGGCCGTGCCCCCAGCTCTGCTACTCTGCGCGGCTTCTCAATGGCGCCATTCTGTCTACTCAGACATGGATGGATTCGGATGGAGCAGCGATTCACAATTGCCTTTAACTGGCAACACAAGAAAACGGTTCCTCCTGTCAAGCAGAAAAGTGGCTGGAGTGTCCCCGAGCATCGGCCGCTGGGAGCACGCAGACTGCCGTGGTTGTCACGAGGCGTTACGCCATCATAATGACGGGAACACGCAATTTCCGCATTTCCTGAGACGAACAGGAGGAGGCAAACGACACGTTACCGCCTCCCGAAACTCTCGTAGCATGCTGCATCAAGCAAACTGGTGGCCAATGGCCCGGGATCTCGCACAGAGCTCGACGTACGTTATCCGAGAAATGAAGGCGAAGGTTAACGTTATTTGACGTTGAGAAGCCTCTTCTAGGCCAGTTTGAATGGGAAGCTGAGAAGTGTATTTGCGAATTCCAGTTCTTTGCCCATGACGGGTCAAAGTGTTGTGGTATCATGGCGAGTCAGAAAGAATCCTGGTCCATAGAGGGGGATTGCGTGGTAAGTCGAAGGAACGGTGCGAACGAGTGTCGC